CAACACGATGTTGGGCGTGAGCCACGTGGTGACCACCAGCGTGGGCATGTGCGACATCGACATCCGGCCCGTGAGTGCCTGCAGGCCGCTGCGGTCCTTCATCATACACGGCGCACCATGCAACACATCGCAAGCCTTCTCTCGGCCGTGTCGCACACCCACTTAGCCGCCTCTTTATCCAGCCAAACAGAAGCTGGATATGCCAACTCACTGTGATTTAGCCGCCCGGTACTCTGCTCGGCGTTGTGAGCGTCGCTCCTCCACCCTCCGTCATTGTTGGGAGGGCGACTGCCTCCAGCTGCCCAGTAGCATCCTTCACGTGCCTCCTCCATAGAGGCCGATCTTGACACCGCTGGTACCAGTCATCGGCAAATCCACTCGGCTCCACATCTTCCCGTATCACATCAGTCCTTCCCTTCTCCAGCCAGTGCCGTGCCTATTTAGCCCCCTCTATTTGACCAAACGGAAGCTACTTTCGCATGCGGTGGCTGGGCAAGCGGTCTACGTGACCTAACCAATGCAGCCTCACCTGCCAGAGGAGCTCGCAGATGGGGGGCTACTTGATCCAACACCTGAGGGAGGAGGTCACATAATGCATATGACTCACCGGACTTGCCTGCGTCCCTCTACGGATGTTTATCTGCAGTGGGGGTGTCGGCCCCCACCATTCCGTAGCCCCTGGCTGATCAGGAGGCAAGTCCACAATAGCTTGAGACTCAAGGCTACCCACCCTCCCACATCCTTTCCATACCGCACTACGAACATCACACCAGGCACATCACACCCCACGCATACCACACCACAGACGTCACACTTCACACGGGCGTGGTGGTGGTGGCGGCGGTATTTGCGGCGAGCGCAGGGTCTCTACGGCAGCGTGATGCTCGCTGGGGGCAACACTCTCCTGCCGAGCTTCACAGACCGCATCAACCGTGAGCTCTCACAGAAAACTCCGCCGGTGAGTCGACATACGCCAGTGACGCGCAGTCGCCGTTAACCATCGGCAGCATCGCTTACGCACAAGGAAGGGTGACCGCCACCGTCACAGCAACTAGCAAGGGCCAGTAGCATCAGTAGTATCACGACCCCCCCCGCCCCCCCCCCCCCCCCCCCCCCAATGGCCTGTGTGATGAATTGTGGGATTTTGATTATTTGTGGCTGCCCATATGTACATTGCGTTTGTGGATGTGTGTGTGACTGTGCATCTGCATGTGTGTGTCTGTAACTGTCTCTGTGTGTGTGGAGAGCTGTAGTGTAACAGTTAGCGCGCTGCACTACGAACTCGGCAACCCAAGTTTGATTCCCGCTCACCAGTGCCGATTATCCGAACAGGTCCTGGGTCTCACCTAGGTCGACTGAGCCTCAAATGAGTACCTGGTGCAGTGTGTAAACATCGTCACTGGGGAGACAAAGGTGGCCGGGCGTGGTGCTGGCCACCCACCCCCTCGTGTGCCGTGCCGGCCTTCATAGATGCACGGTAGCAGCGCTTTCCCCAATCGTCTGTCAATGCTATACGGGGGTCTTTGTCTCTGTGTCTTTGTGTCTGTAACTGTACCTTGACTTCCTGCCAAGTGAGCTTTCGACACCAGGCATGGCACAAGCGCCGTGGTGAAGTCACCGCCACTTAGTGGCCACTGCTGGTTGTTGTCTATATCTATGTGCGTCTTTGTGTTTGTCTGTGGATTTGGACCACAGAGCATGAGGCTGAAGTTGATCTCTAACACCAGCTCCGCCGAGCGAAGATTCAGCTCCTGGATTGGCGGCTCCATCCTCGCATCGCTGGTGTGTAACGCTCGCTCATCATTCAATCACTCGCTCTCGCTCACAGGTTCACAATCACACACACACACTCACAAACGCATTCAGTCCTGCTCACAAACATTCGCACGTTCCCTCTCACACTTCATCATCACGGTGGCTACGATATGTTAACTACCTTGCCTGGTCTACAGGAGGTCGTGAGTTTGATCCCCCCCACCCTGACGCCTGCTGTATATTTGGGGTTTGCATGTCCTTCCCATGGTCACGTGGATTTTTGTTCGGTTACTCTGGTTTTCCCTCCACATTTAGTCAGCATGCATTTAAAATATTTGGCTGATATACATTTCCACGTAATAATCCACTTCATTGAGATGTCATTTGTGGCCAGGTCACTTCTGAAAAAGAGCTACATAGCTCAGTGGGTCTTAAGTGGTAAAATAGAAACTGTTGAGTTTATAGTTTAGTTGACTATATGCTTGTTTTTTAGTGTATGTGTATATATATACACGTGCATCTGTACGTGTATATATATGTACGCATGCGCATGGGAGCGGTAGTGTAGCGCTCTGAACCCGGCCGCCAGAGTTCGATTCTCGCTCACGGCCAACACCGGTGACAATTATCTGAACCGGTTCTGGGCCTTCCCTAGGTCGACTCAGCCTCAAATGAGTACCTGGTGCGGTGTGTAAACATCGCCACTCGGGAGACAGAGGCGTCCGTGCATAGTGCTGGCTACCCACCCCCTTAGTGTGTCGTAACGGCCTTCATTCATAGGTGCTACGTGCTAACAGCACTTGCCCCAACAGTTTTAAGACTACCTGGGGGGATCGCTGTTTTTGCATGCGCAGGGCACGTTCCAGCAGATGTGGATCTCCAAGCAGGAGTACGAGGAGGGCGGGAAGCAATGCGTCGACAGGAAGTGCCCCTGAGGTGCATTTTCGACCCACGGGGGAACCCACCGACCTCCACTCAGCGACTCCTCCCACACTCGGCGACTCCTCCCACACTCGGCGACCCCTTCCACGCGTGGCGGCTCCACCTGCTCTGCCCAGTTACTCCACCCTCTCCACCCTGTGACCGCACACTTTAATGGTGGCTCCACCCACCCCCGTCATGTACTCTGTACAGTGACTCCTCTACTTATGAACACTTGACTTACGACCTATCCGTATGTCCATTTGCCTGTTCGGACCGAGATTCGTAAGTTTAATCGCCGCGCAATAGATGGCGGTGGTGGCATCTACGTTTGCAGAATATGAAGAACCAGTGGCATCTACAGGAGATTATATAACTTTTAAAGCCATTCCCTGTGTTTAGTGTACATGCCGTACAACATTTTTGGAATCGACAGGGGTAAAGTTGTATTTACGAACAAATCGTCTTCTGAACAAACCTCTGGAACCTAACTCATTCATAAGTCGAGGAGTCCCTGTATGTGTGTTTAACTTCTTTCCCACCGTACGTAGCCCCACCATGCTAATTGTAGGTGCGACTCCACCCCCTCTCAGCGACTCCACTCTCTTAAGAGGTGGAGCCTTGTCCTAAACTTGACTCGGATATCGCAGCGCGAGCGCTTTTACCCTGTAAATTTTACTGCGTTTCGTTTTCATCCCTCGACATTTGACTCTTCACCCAAACTGGGAAGGTCGCGGCAAAAGGCTTCGCGGCCTTCACGGCCACGTGCCTCTTCTACATAGACGTTAAAATCGGTCAGAATCGGAACCTTTATTTAGATCGTAGGAATCTGATGAGCTTATGAAGATATTTTTTGTCACAGATGCCCCGTAGCTGAAATGGGCGTTTATCGCGGTGGCTGGGAAGGTCAGCGCGGAGCTGGCGGTGACTGCTTGGATCATGGCCATTGAAGCTCTGCAAGCAATGTGGCCACCTCTTGGCAGCGTTTCTATTTCTTCAGCTTCGGCATTATTATTTGTTTGCCGTCAATCTCACGGGGCGCGGCGGTTGAAACGTCGGTCCAAGTTTCTCAAATCTCCCCCACCCCCGCTCCTACGCCTCTGTCTACCCAGCACTGTGCCACATTTATCCAAGATGCCTGGCCAGCGTGTGAAAGAGTAGGCCAAATACCCTTCAGAGCTCCCTCTGGTGCAGGCCGTGACGTGAGTGAGCGGGCAATTGCAGGGCCGCACCTTCACCACCCCCCACCCCCCGTCCCGCTCATCAGTTGTAACCGTCGGGTGTTTCGTTTTGAACCTAGGTCGACGCTCAGCCCTCTTTTTGCGTAGCTCTCCCCAAGTGCCTAGATCCACGTGCCGCTGCGTGCAACCAAAAGGGCTTCGACGTTTTTTGTTGTTGTTTACGCACGCTGCGGGCGGTGTCCCCCGTAACGGGCGCGCGCGTCTCCTCTCCTCCCGCCCTGCTTTAATCCACTTGGGGGAAAAAAAAACACGTTTCGTGACGAATCCTGCGAAGTGGAACTGTGGCGTAGCTTGGCCGACCTGGACCCTGATGCAAGACGTTGAATGGGGCCCCCCCCTCCTGTCAAACTTTTGAACCCCCACAATATTTGTAGGCAAATGCCTAGGCCCCTCCAGCCTGTGAGCCCTGGCGCAGTTGCACTGCCTGCACACTCAATAGCCACAACACTTGCTCGGTGCCTTCCTCCGTCTCTGGTAAGTCTCGCTATGGAATTGGCGTATCGTGGTTGGCATCAGCCCTAGGGCAACGAGTATAATGCCCCCCCCCCCCCCCGGCCCAGTTTCATAGCTCAGCACCTGGGCCCCACCACCCGCACAATTGATAACTTCGCCACTTGTGTAGAATCTGCCGTGTGGCTGCACGACTGCTCCCCACACATGGACACACCCATACAAATGCAGACACACCCATAGAGATACAGACACAGCCATAAACACAACCGTGGTTGTTTCTCCACTGGTAACACATTGTGCTCGGGAGTAGTCAGTTCATGATGCTGTGATTGGCAGGAGGGTTGCAGGTAAATTGAACGTCTGCCTCCTGATTTCAAAGTGAGGAGGCAGGGCTGATGTAATGTTAACCGGACCGAAGTCGCACGTGAAACATCCTGGCCGTCTTTATTTTGTTGTTGGTTTTTGTAAGAATATAGTTCTAAGGTGCAAAAGAAATACCACCCCGTTTGCAAAGTTTTGTAATGTTCGAAATAAAACCCATCCTTAGAAATTGTGCGTGTTTTTAAAACTACGTGGAAAGTTGCCTTGCCCCCTGGGTGTTTGTCCTCAAAACCATTTTCGGAGACCAAATCGTGGCTAAAATCACTTTTAATGGCAAGAAAAATGTGCAAAACCTTGCGAGCCGTGACTTGAAAACTATACACGAGGAAGGGAACGAGAAGCTTGCAGAGCTCAGGATGAACACGTGATTATCAGGTCTGCAATATACAGGGCGAGTTTGAGAGCGCACGTTAGCTCGTGGCCAGTGGGGGCCCTTGCATCAACGTACCTCTTCACGCTTCACCACGCTCCGCCCCCCCTCAACGTCGCAATTGTTACAGCATATCTTGTCAAGACCGCGTCAGTCAAGCTGATCGAACTTTTAAACCGATATCGTGCCACATGTTTTCAAACGTCACCACACTTGCCATAGAGGTTTGAAAGCGCTGGCAGTGCATTTGGTAAGTAACAAGGAACCTGGAGCCGGACCGTAGTGTAACTTTTTAATAAACGCGGCATGGGAACTACCCCACCAATCAACGCAGGCAATTAAAATCACGTCGGGGATTGCTTTAGATTTGCACAAACACTTTATGCAAACGTTGCTTTTGGCCTTAACCCACTGTCCAAAAGGAATTGGGCCCAAGGTGAGAATGGGTGAAACAGGAATGGCCAACACCGCGAGAACAAACGCGGCGGAACGAGACCGTCCACATGAGCTGGAGGAAACCAGGCGGAACTCGGGACAGAACTGATGATGACGGTGGCGTGATCGACAGAGCAGCCTATATGCCGGGGCGTCTCGGCGCGCTTTCTGCTGCATCTCATCCCTGTGCACGCAAGGCGACTTGCCACCGGCGGGCATTAGTCCTGCCAGTACTGAGCGCAAAATCCCACTGGAGTAATTGCACGTAGAAGTTCTCGGAAGTTGGCAAATTATGGACCCCTGATGTGCACACGCAATGGCCTGCTCTTGCCAACGACGTCAGGGGATCTTCGACATGCACAGTGAAGCAACTTCACCGAGCAAACGAAATGGCACACACGTGGCAACATAAATGAGGTGGAAGAAATTGAAGTTTGTGCGGATGGGACAGGACGACAACGGAACAAGTCTGGCAGTGACGAGATGCAACGGAATGACGGCAAAGTACCTAGCGGGAGCAAGTGAAAGTACAGATTTGAATGAGACAGAGAACGCACGAGACGGTACAGATGGCGATGTTACACGAGGACGAAATAGTCGATGCTCAAACAGAATTGCGGCGATTCATCCAAGCGCAGAGGGTGAATCCGTCACTAAGTCTTTGAGGAAATTTCATAGCCGAGTCTCGCGACTTTCCAAGAGGGTTCTGCTCGAGGGTGTTTGGCAAACTCCCCGTCGACCCAAGGCAATGGCAGTGGCTGCTGTTTGCTGAGAATCTGCTGAGACGGCGTTGCAGTGGCGGCGGCATCTTCAGTCATCCAGAACTCGGACGGTGCTGTTCTCCTTGTCACCGCCCATCACCCTCTCGTGCTTGCGCCCGGCGCGAGCGGCAACGTGCAGCGCCTCACCGGAGCCTCCCTTGCGACCCTGGGTGGATACACACACACGCACGCACATTACTACTGCGCCATGTGCATTCCAAACGAGACTACTGGTCTCTTCAGTTCTCACCCAGTTAAACGTTACCACGTGTGTAGGTGTTCGCTGCTCAATAGATGAAAATATACCCGCTTACCACCGGCACATCCGACCCACGCTAGCGTGGGCCCGTCACGGTACGGGAGGTTTTCCCCACTGGCTATTTGCTGTGCCAAGCCGGAAACAAAACAACGTGACGAGCTGCTGGCCTCACAGGACACCCGAATCTGGCAAGGGAGGCCAAACAGGGCCAGGTCAGAATCAGAATATTTATTTGTACTGGAGGAATCCGATGAGCTATGAAAGCTCTTTTTCACAGATGTTCAGGAGGGGCGGGTAAGAATGTTACAACAAAAAACACGATAGTAGTGGAAAGAACAAGCAAGGTAAACAAATCACCCAAACATTCAAATAAAACTAAACCATGCCCATCCTACCAGGCAAAGCTCACTGAGGTATTAACTTATTTCCCAGAAGCGGCCTGGCCACAAATGATAGCTCAACAAAGTCGCCCATCATTTGAACATTTATATCAGCGAAATAATCGCAATGGATTCGACGTCAGTCGGCGCACTGCGAGGACACGGTGTCGCCTATGCGTGCCCTCGATTCGCCAATTGCTCGCAAACACGTCGGCGGCACGGCTTGGCTCCTGCAGTGGAAAAACAGCTGGGTGTCTCCTATGCCGCGCACGGCTGGCTCGGCTACGGCCCTGACACACGCTTGTGTGGTGCATTTGGGGGGAAAAAAGGCAATAGGGTCTTATAGGGAAAGAGCAAATAATGAAAATGATACGGATTAATTAATTCCCGGAGCACTTGTTTCAGGCTAATCATGATGACCTAGAGCGGCGGTTCTCAGAGTGCGGACCCCGGAACTACCAGGGATGGTCCGCAGGGCTGTGATGAAACGTAGATGGATCTGGACAATAATAACAATGCTTCAGACATTAATATTTAACTTATGATATTTAATTTAAAAATCAAGTTAGGTACACTGCCCTGATTAAAATACCCTAACCCTTAAGATCTAAATGCCCCTCCTTAGAAAAAAAAAACCTTACAGCTACATTTATTTTTTTCTTAATTTTCCGGCAATATTAACCATGTTGCATGGCTGGTATCTAGAGTGGGGGGGTGAGGGGGGGCTGTGTGAGTCCACGGAAATGTTTGCATCAGGCGATTAGTCCGCGGCCAAGCAAGTTTGGGAATCCGTGGCCTCGAGGCGACCCTTCCCCACCGCCTCGACATGACGACGCGGCACTGTGGGTTACTCGCCGTGACGGCCGGACGCTGGGGCTTGCCGGGAGAGTTGCGGTCACACAGGGAGACGAGGTAGAGAGGCGGGCGCGGGGTCACGAGGGTGAGGGGCGAGCGCGGGGTCACCGACGAGTGGACCCCAAGGACCCGGGGGCCCACGCGCTGCTTCAGCACCGGGCGCGACGGGGACACGGCCTTAAGTGGGCTCCCTGCTCACACACACATGGTCACACATAAAACAACACATGGTCATATATATAACACACAAGTGCACATGGTCATACATACAAGAACAATAACCACCATTTGCCACTAAGTGGCGGTGATGTGCACGTTAAGGCCACGTGAAGTGTTGAACGCCAGCTGGCAAGAGGTCATGGGACAGACCCAGGTGCCTTGGGTTGACCGACTGAGATGACTGGCCGATGCACCACCTGTGCCCCATACTGTGCCAACTTGCTGTGTTTTAGCCACCATGCACTCTGCTCGTTGTGAGTGTCGCTCCTCTCCCCTCTGCTGTTGCTGGAGGGCGACTGCCTCCAACTGCCCAGTGGCGTCCTTCACGAGCCTCCTCCACAGAGCCCAATCTTGACACGGCTGGTACCAGTCAATGGCAAGTCCACTCAGCTCCACATCCTCTCGCCCTACATTATTCCATCTTTTCTCTAGCCCATGCTGCACCCGTTTAGCCCCCTTGATCCGGCCGAACAAGAGCTGTTTAGGCATGTGGTGGCTGGGCATGCGGGCTACGTGACCCAGCCAAAGCAGCCTTGCCTGCCGGAGGAGCTCAACAATAAAACTGTCCAGATCTTTCGAGGATTTGTGAGCTCCTCACACAATTCAGCCTGGTCAAACCCAAGATGGATCGTAGGCAGGCCAGCCTAAATGTTTCCAACCGGTGAAGATGTTCTATTGGGGGGGGTCCATGTTTCTAAAGCATAAAGGAAGGGCAGGACCATGGCCGAGAAGACCCAAAGCTTCATGTGGAGGGACACACCAGGGAGCTTCCACACAGCGTTACGCAGCCAATGAAAAGATAATGCCACTCGACTAATTCGGAGTAAGACCTCTGCTGTCAAACCAGAGCTGGTCATAAGCACACTGACGAGGTATGGACAACCTCTCTACTCTCTGCACAACTACCCCACCAATGAGGAGTTGAGAAGGTGGAGTGTTTTATGACACAAAATACCCAGACAGGTGCTTAATTTTGGCGGGGCTGACGGTAAGGTCCCACCTCTTAGTAGCATGCTCCAGGTTCAGCAGCAGCACCTCCAACTCCTCTTCAGAGTGAGCAGCAATTACCAGATCATCAGCATACTAACATGGTTAACCAACAGAGAGCCATTCCTCGACCGCACCCAGGCATCGATCAGCCTCCCATTGTATCTGTACCAGATGGAAATTCCTCCAGTACAGCGATGGAAAGCTTCTCAAACTACGTGGTCGAAATAGATGTTAAATAATGTAGGTGCCAGAGGACATCCCTGTCGCACCCCAAGGTGTACAGGGAATGGCTCCGACTCCCGGCCACGTAGTTTTACCCGACCACCATCGTGAAGGTCCTTAATGGTTGTGGGCAGTTAGGGACTCCTAAAGCACGAATAACAACCCAGAGCCCAGGCCTACTGATGGTATCAAGGCCTTGACCAGGTCAATAAAGCAGAGATGTAGAACCTGTTGGAATTCTATACACCTCTGCTGTAGCAGACGGACAGAAAACATGACATCTGTGCAGGACCACCCTGGCATGAAACCACATTGGGGCTCCGCAAGCCTCTCCTCAGTGTACCTGGCAAGGCGATGTAGAATAATCCTTGCCAGTACCTTTCCCGGTACACTGAGGGAGATGCCCCTGTAGTTTTTAAAGTCTGTGCGGTCCCCCTTCTTAAAGAGGAGGACCATCAGGGCATCCTTCAAATCCTGCGGAACCCACCCAGTGGTCCAGACTTATTATGATGTCAGGTAGAGCAGTCTGCACAGAAACACCACCCTCCCTCAGCAGTTTGTGTGGGAGATCATCTCTGCCTGGCACTTTTCCTGGTCTCAGACTCTGGATTTCCTTCCGTACTTCAAAAAATGGCACTTCAGCCAGTCACTCATAGCGGGTTGATTACTTCTTACAATATTTGAGGCACAGCAGCCTCAGCAGAGTAATCCCCACTTTGCCCAATGATGTTTTCTGGGCTGAGGGATTTCCCCTCCTTCAAGACCTCACAGAAATGCTTAGCGAATCTGCAAACTTGTGTCTGGGAGTTGGAGATCACCTTTCTTTCCCTTACGTATGGCGATAGGCATGGCACTTCAAGTCACTTTTTTGATGGAATTAAACAGTGATTTGTGATCGCGAGCTACTCAGGCAGACTCCATCTCCTCAGCAACTCGAACGTGGGTCGCCGGGTTCATCGTGCAGGGCACTAACCGCTACACTACCACTCCGCAGTCAAATATACACAGTACAAAGACAAACATACAGGCACATGTACACATATCGTTTGTTGTGTGGTTAGGTGGTTATTTGTGTGGATGATTGCATGGTTGGGTGGTTAGCTGCGTGCGAGCGTGTGTGGTCAGAGAGTTGGCCGTGTGGTTGGCCGTGTGGGAGAGTGAACGCACCACAATAAATAGGCAACTCCGGTAGAACGTTGATAGCGGCCTCGCACAGCGGAGAGCACTGCGCTGGGACGGGCGGCGTTTCGTCACTGTGGAAGCAACGCGTACGCACGCGTGAAGAACAAAGGCGACGAAGAAAAAGCGTGCACACGCACCGATTCCGCAACACTTGTTGCTGCTGTTGTTTTTATTTTAACTCAACGTGAGCCCGGCTACAGAGCACCGATCACAGAACAAGAAGGGGGAGAGCACAGATCCCGCCAGCAGAAGCCCGAGATCGACACGGCGGGGCTGGGTGGAAGAGGCAGTGGTGTAGTGGTGACATCATCAGCTCAGGGTGGGTGCTGTCAATCAGTCAGCTGGCGCCCTAGTATTTGATTTGTCTCGCACGGTCGCACCTAGGCTAATATATATATCGCCGCGATACATAGCCTAATTAAGTTAAAATGAAATGTGAATGGAAGCACATTTTCATAAATAAAAAAATGTAAACAGCGTTTGAAATAAGTGTTATTGTTCCATTACACTTTTGTTGTTGTCAAGGGGGCCCCAACTCGTAACTCTGACCACCTGGGGGTGGGGTGGCAAGGTACCCCCTCTGCCCCTCCACACTCGTTATGCCACTGGGGCTCACTGCCCCATCCAGGTGAGGAGCCTCTAGCAGAGCAGTGACAGTTTACATGGGGGGAGGGAAAGCAACATGGAAGGGAGAAGATAACGAACTTAAAAGTGAAGACGGGAGAGGGGGAAGAGTGGGTGGGAGGCGGATTCTGCAACACCTTTTAACAAGCATTTACCCTCGACGGTGGTTAAAAAGCGATCGTTATTGAACGCGTATGTAGGGTGGAGAACAAGAGGAAAATTAAAAGTGTACCATTCAGGAAAGATGGAAGGAACCGGAAAGAGAGGAAGAGCTAACAGAGAATGGCTTGACGATGACACAAAGAGATTGGTGCCAGAAAGATGTGGCCACTCTTTGAGCACATTGGCACAAGACGAGAGAAAAGTGGAAACAAATGACGAAATGTGGAGTGGACACCTCCGAGCTATCTGCCCATGGATCATGATGATGAAGATTGAATTCAAGTTGCCGGGTTCGTGACAGTGCTCTATCCACTACGCCACCACTCCACCCGTACATGCAGATCCAAACAAAGACAAAATTCCCCCTATAAACCAACACAGGCTGTTGGGGTAAGCGCTGTGAGCAAGCACATGTGAAGGTCGTCACGGCTCACGAGAAGGCGGTGTGGTTAGCTCTAAGCCTGACAGTCTTTGTCTCCCCCGGTGGTAATATTTACACACCGCTCTAGCTATTCATTTAAGGCTGAGACAACTTAGGAGAGCCCCAAAGACCGGTTCAGATATTTACCACTGTTTTTGGTCATGAGTGGTAATTGAACTCGTGTCGCCGGTTTCGTAGCGAAGTGTGCTAACCACTATACCACCGGTCACCAAGTACGCAACATGCCAATGCTCGCGCGCACACATGCACGTGTACACGCACATGTACACATTTGCACACGCACACAAAAAACTAAAACAAAGATCCCTTGTATAGCCGTAACAGGTCCCCCTTGCAAAGAGGCTTTTAACTTAAAGGTCTTTTTTACCTGGTTAAATAAAGGTGAAATGAAATTAAAAAACAGACCGTTGGGGCAGGTGTGGCTAGCGAGCACCTGTGAAGGCCTGCACAGCACACGAGGGAGTGGGTAGCCAACACCACGCCCGGCCGCCTTTGTCTCCCCAGTGGCGATGTTTACACACCGCATCGGTTACTAATTTTGAGGCCGAGTCGAGCTAGGGGTGGCCCAGGACCGGTTCAGATACTCGTCACTGGTGGTGGCCGTGAGTAGGGATCGAACTCGGTTCGCCGGGTTCGTATCGTAGTGCGCTCACCGCTAAACTACCGCTCGCCACGTACACACGCGCACACTAACATGTACACGCACACGCACCTGGGGCTTGGTGGGGGAGCTTGGGGAGCAGCCGGGGGGTCCAGCGGTTCCTGCTCCCTCATGGACGGCACCACCGGCGGGGCGGCAGTGGAGGCGCGCAGAGCCACCTCCTCCAGTCTGTCGTCAGCCTTCCTGGGTGTATCGCTCTCTGGGTGTGGCAGGGTAAGCAGCGACGTGCACTGGAGTTCGTGCTCTGTTAAAATGAGGGGTTCGTCAGGTGGAATCGGTAACACTGACCGCGGAGGGCGTTGACGGTGATTGTGATGATAAAGATGATACAGCTGATGATGATGGATTATCATTTAGATACCGCAGCTGATGATGCTTCTGCAGCTATAGATGATGGATTAACGCGATGACACTGCTGATGATGCAGCTGCTCGTGATGTCGATGATATTCACAGTGCTAGAACAGTTGCTAACACTGTAGATGATGAAGATCTGTCATCTGCTGATACATTTGTCGATAATGATGCTGATGATGCACATGCATGGTTTTTACACCTGATGATGATTGCTTGTGTTGCAGTCGAAACGTCGTGAGAATTTTATTGTTTCATATTTTTATTATTTTATTGTTTCCCTTCTACGTGACTTTACCGAAAGAACCAAGAATATGAATCTCTGCAGTCACGAAAGCTTTAAATCAAAATTTGATGCACATGCTGTTGACATTGATGATGGTAATAGGCTCTCAATAACCCAGGAAAAACTCCAGTGAGTCAAAAGAATTTGTCATACTTTTAAACTCCTATCTTGCTTTCCCATTGAAGAATATTATCATCAATAAATTTAATAATTCTGAGGACAAACGCATTGTGGAAAAAATTACAGAATCCATGCGTTTGCACGATTTCTCTTCCATGTTTGTAAGCGCGTATATATGTTTGCATGTGTGGGAAACCGGAGTGCCCGGAGAAAACCCCATGCACAGGAGGGTGGGGAGAGTCTCTGGAACATCCGCAGCCAGGTACCTGGGGCCGAATCGGATGTGTTCAGACCGAGGAAGACGAGGTCCAGCTGCATGGCCAGGGCACTCGCTGCATCTGGAGGGACAGAAATGAACAAAGCCAACCGAGGTTTGTAGCGCATACTATACTATACACAAGTACACTCATCAGTAATAGGTTTTTACCCTTTTATCTGGCACTAAAACTGACACTTTTATACAAGGAATCATGTTTGCAATAACCACAACACAAGCAGTCAAAATGCAAACAAAAAGAGACAACTCTGATAATGATATGCACTGTCCTTGCAATCGATTGGTCCACACCCGAGACGGCTTTTCTTAGAGTCTAGTCTCCACTGGTGTTGGACCAGATGACGCCAAAAGGTGTACCTTTTGGTACGCCTTTAAGAAAAGCTGTCTCGGGTGTGGACCAATCAATTTCAAGGACAGTGCATATCATTATCAGAGTTGTCTCTTTTTGTTTGCATTTTGACTGCTTGTGTTGTGGTTACTGCAAACATGATCCCTTGTATAAAGGTGTCAGTTTTGGTGCCAGATAAAAGGGTAAAAACCTATTACTATATCTTGCTACTGGCAAAGGAGGTCTCATAATGTACACCCATCAGCCCACCACGCACACCCTTTGCACACAGACCTACTACATACGCACGCACACACTCTGCGCGCCGTGCCCCCAACACATGCGTCGTACGTTGTGTGTGCTTTTCAGGCTCCAGGCGTAGCGGCGTTCTGTCAAACTGCTGCGAGGGAGAGCGCGGGTCATTGATCGCCACCACCCGCCCCTCCTCCTTGGGTGCCGCCACCACCTCCTCCTCCTCCTCCTCCTCATAATCCTCCTCCTCCTCTCCCGTGTCTCCCACAGAGAGTCTCTCGGGGCGTCTCTTCTCCTCCGAGTTGCTCCCCACCTGACCGACAGCACACACAAAAACCGGCGACACCGCTCCGCTTTCTGGCAAAGGCAGGGGTCGGCAACAAAAATAAGAAGAGCCATTTTTTTTACAACTCGGTGAAAAATACCCCTTCAATGTTTCAAGAGCCGCAATGCTATATATGTAGAAGTTCTTTCGCACCATACGTAGCCAACCGTGCTAATCGGAGGTGCGGGGGATGGACAACAAACTAAACACACTAAAAAAGTGTGAATGCGAGACGGTAGTCCTTAATAAATAACGTCCCGAAGCAGTCCTTCAAAGAGCCGCATCAGGCTCCGGAGCCGCAGGTTGCCGACCCCTGGGCTAAGCGTTGAGAGCGCGAATGCAACAGCTCCTGTCCGTCCGTCTGTCCGGTGTTTGACATGCGGTTACCGGCAATGCCAAATAAATCCCGATTTTAACAACCCTATATATGCTGCTAGTCAACTACACCTCCCTTTGTTCCCTGCGAGTGCGACGTGAGTACCAGTGGCCTCCTCCCTCACGCCCCGTACCTCGATGGGTGTGCGCTCGATACCGCACGACGGGGAGCGTGGGTCCGCCAGCTGGCGCAGACGGCGCATGGCGGGCATGGCGATGGGTGTCTCGGGCACAGCAGCGGCGGCTCCGTCTTTGCTCTCGTGCAGACCCATGGCTCAGGCAGGGATGGGTGGAACCACTCCAAGGGATGAGAAGGACGGCCGCGGCGTCAACAGCAAGATTGATTTGCTTCACAGAGTCTTGTAGGAGACAGCAGAGAGAGAGACATTAATAGCTATGCTTTCATGGCCACTTAGCAAATTATTCTCTCGAGTTCAATTTGATCTCTCGCTGGGGCAGTTTAAACAATGGGCCAGTTTCTTAAATAGCACTCCCCCCATCATCCCTGTTCACCAAGCAGTTATTACTGGGTAATCCCACTTCCTCCAATACGTCCGGCCAATGTAGAAGAGGATAACATTTCCTCTTGAGCCCCATCTTGTGGAGGCCCCTTCTACCAGCAGTGACGTGAGTGAGAAATTGCTGGGCTGTACCTTAACCTGTTACTAACTCAGACATACATTCGTTACACTTTTAAAGACAGCAATAAGTAATAGTCTTACATATTAGAACGTGTATGCATTGTTTTGCGGGGCTGCGTGGGAATGAACAGCGCACAGTGGCGAGATCTTAACTACCTCGCCTGGTATTCAGGTTGTGGGTTCGATCCCGACCCTGACACCTATATATTTGGAGTTTGCATGTTCTCCCCGTGGTCGCTTGGATTTTTATCTGGGTCCTCCTGTTTTGCCCTTCACATTCAGAATCAACATGCATTTAGAGTATTTGGCTGCTACAAATTTCCACAGAAGCCATTTCGTTGAGCTAACATTTAGTTTGCTTTAAAAGAATCCGTAGTGGCAATGTGCCTGTACTTTAATGCTGCCACCAATGCACTCCCCACCTTCACCAACCTGCGCCGACGAGCTTGATTCTATTCTTGGGTATGGCAGGTGCAGGTATATGTTTAGGAGCTAAATGCCAATGTTTGTGGTCTGCTGGCCACGACGAGAGGGGCTTCAGGAGAGAGAGAGAGTTCGTGCAGTTTGGCTGTTCCTCCTCCGTTGAAAGAGCACAGACTACCACAGTGGCTTACTGTATGGTCCGTACTTTGTATTGCTTGGCCACAGTCGCTACTGTGGATTGTCCTTTAACATATCTCTTCCGTATCAATGTGGACCAATGTCTCTCTATGAATCTCTATGTATCTCTACGAGTACGTATGTACCCATGGGTCTCTGAGTTTCTATCTCTGTGTGTCTCTATGGATTTACTAAATGGTACAGTTTCGCTTGCATGAGCCACAAGCTCACATTCTGTGGTGAGATGTGGATGGTCAAAGAAACTTCAGTTTCCACACGGCCTGTGTTGTTAGGTCCTCATCCCGCAGTGGACAAATGATACCTAACGATTGCCTTACGTATTGTTGTCTCACATGATTATGAGTGAATTATCACAGCACTACGAGCATGTATCAGTACAGCTATGGGGCAATAAACCACTGTGGTCTGCGCACCTCACTACCTCGCCTGGAATGCAGGAGGTCGTGGGTTCGATCCCGACCCCGACGCCTGCTGCTGTATATCTGTAATCTGTGTGTCTCTCTCCCCATGGTCACGTGGATTTTTCTCTGAGTCCTCCTGTTTTTCCCTTCACATTCAGAATAAACATGCATTTAGAGTATTTGGCTGCTACAAGTTCAGAACAACAACTGTGTTCAGAACGCAGTTGTTGTTATCACGAGACGTTGTTCGCTGTTCACCTCGAGGCATAATGCTCTCATGGTGCATTGATCGCCTTTTGGCATTCTCTGGTCTGACACCGCTGGTGAGACGAGGTCACAGAGAAGGTTGTCTCTTCTAGATTTGAAGTTTTCCTGACCGCAAGGATCCATACTCTTTGGTTCTTTCGGAAAAGTCACGTAGATGAAAAATAAAAATAATGAAAATAATTATGATGTTATTTTCTTAGCTCTTTCGGTAAAGTCACGTTGAAGGGAAACAATAAAAAATATATAAAACAATAAAAATTCTCACGACGTTTCGACCATCAGGCATGTTCACCCGCATGTACACCACCTCTACACCGTTCATCATGCTAAGTCGGCCAATCAAATGCTAATTTTTATGCTAATTCCTTTGTCAAGGCACCTTGTTTCCTCGAAAGAGCTAAGAATATGAATTACTTCAGTCACGAAAGCTTTAAATCAAAATTTAACTGCCTCTACGGGGAGGGTGGGTTTCCACATAACTTTAAGATCCTTCAACAAACTCCGGGATAAGAAGGCTCAGCTGATCGAGTCTCTCACCTTTCTGAAGAGATGCCGCGACTCTGGGGTAATACCAATCGCATTTACACTAACCTCTGCTGCTGTAACTTCTTATGCGAAACGATTTCTTTTCAAAACTAGCTTAGCTCTTATCTCAGAAAAAATCAGACTTATACGCACCGAACTAGATCAGTTAGACAAGACACTCTACAAATCACACTTATCATTGACGGCATCAATGTCCACATCGGATTGGGAACATGTAGACAATATGACTGCCTCTTCAGCTGCTACTATGTCGACCAAATGTAAGGACAACCTGATTTCCAAATTTAACCTCCTCTTCAACAAAAGACCGGACCCACACACCAAAAAGTTAGACGTTAACAAAGTCGTAATTAATCGCAGTAACAGTTCTATTTCCGATGGTCTGAAATCCGTTTTAGCTAAAGGTCTAAACTTTGCAGTCACACCTAAACACATACCAGTTAATGATATAATTGCCCAAGTAGACGTTGCTCTCAGGGGCCTGGGTCACATCGCTGCAGACGTAGCAAGATCTGAAATCGCTGCAACCCTCAAAAACGCTAAGATGCCAGCTAGCAACCTCAGCAAAGATGAGCGTTTTGAATTATATAAATTAAAAAAGAGGGATGATATTGTAGTCCTCTCAGCTGACAAGGGCAATGCTACTGTCATCATGGATAAAATAGAATACAACAACAAAATTAAAGAATTACTCGACAATGGCAGTTATACAAAAATAAAAAGAGATCCCACCAACAGCCTCGTCACACAAACCAACAAAATAATAATTTCTGATTCAACCGCATTAATTGAGCAATCTAAACAGTTTTTGTTGAGACCTTCTGCTGCCAGGCCACCAAGATTATACGGCTTACCAAAAATACATAAAGTAGATACACCCCTTCGTCACATCGTCTCTACTATCAACTCCCCCACCTACAAACTGGCTCGTTTTGTCTGAAATCCTGCGTCCTTTCACTGGAAAAACCACCTCTGCGGTACAAAATTCTACTCACCTGGTATCGACAATCAAGGGTATTTCCCTGTCCCCAGACGACCTGCTTGTCAGTTTTGATGTAGTTTCCTTATTCACCAAGGTTCCTGTACCTGACACCATCGCAATCATTGAAGACTTGGTTCATCAAGGACTAAACACTGAGGTACCCCCCCTGGTGAGACACTGTTTAACCAATACATACTTCACTTGGAATGGAACTTTCTACAAACAAACTGAGGGCACCCCAATGGGCTCCCCCCTATCTCCGGTTATAGCTAACATTTTCATAGAGAAATCTGAGACTGACGCCATCCAGACTGCCACTCTGCGCCCAACCTTATGGAAGAGGTACGTGGATGACGCTTTTGTCATCTGGCCACATGGCCGGCCTGCTCTAGACCAATTCTTCGACCACATCAATTCCATACACCCAGCCATCAGATTTACCATGGAAGTCGAAAAAGATGGCAAGCTACCTTTTTTTGGATGTCCTAATTAAAAAGAGACCTGATGGTTCAATGAGCCACTCTGTCTACAGGAAAGCTACCCATACGGATGCTTATCTGAAACCGGATTCCCACCACCATCCATCACAGAAGAATTCTCTCATCAAGACTCTGTATCATAGAGCTCAATGCATATCCGACCAGGAACACATAGGCAGTGAACTCAAGCACGTACACCAAGCTCTTAAGGCTAATGGTTACTCCGACTATACAATCTGCAAAGCTATCACTCAAACCATGAAGAAGGACCCTCTTGAGGAGCCTTTCAAAACCATCACTTTACCCTACATTGCGGGGATCACAAAAAAGATCTCCAAAATCTTGAATAAACACAAGATCCAGGTCCGTTTCAACACATTACATAAAATCCGTGATCTGGCTCCGTCTGTAAAATATGTGATTCCGGACATACAGTACCCTGGTGTCTACAAACTAAGTTGCTTCTGTGGTAGTAGTTACATTGGAGAAACCAAACGGCATGTCTCGGACCGCATTCGTGAACACAAAGCAGACCTTAAACACGGTAGGACCAACACCTCGGCCGTGGCAGATCATTGTTATAATTCAGTAGGCTCACATGACATTGACTTTTCCAGACAGAGGTTCTTTGTAAGCCATCTGGCTACCATGAGAGATTCGTTCATGAGGCTATCCACATATACAAGCACAGAGACAATTGCAACCGAGAAGATGGATTCTGGCTTAGCAATCATTGGAAAGATTTGATTAACCATTTCAGGTCTTAATTGATTGTTCACGCTTACAGTGGCTTTCAGACAGCATACATAGATTTTTCGTCTCCTCCCTCCTCTTTTCAGAACACAGATGGACTAGTCCTTCTAAATAAACTGCCAAATCGCTGCGTGTGCCGCTAAAGTTTTTAATAAATAAATAACTACACCGTTTAAAAATAAATAAATTAATGCAAACCGACACACCTGATGACGACCGTTTGTGTTATGGTCGAAACGTCGTGATAATTTTTATTGTTTCATATATATACATTTTATTATTTTATTTTTTTCCTTCAACGTGACTTTACCGAAAGAGCTAAGAATATGACTTACTGCAGTCACGAAAGCTTTAAATAAAAAAAATAATGATGTTATGATGCTATAACATCATGCTAATCTCTCACATTAACATAGGCACTTCTGTACCCAGTTACCTAATTTCTCACATTAACATCACTAGACCCAACCACTTCTTTATGACCCTTGGGGCTACACCCATTTCAAACCTTTTAAAACAGTCTGCATCAGCAGCAGACCATGCTTTCCCACCTGATGACGGACGCTTGTGTTGCGCTCGAAACGTCGTGATTTAATTTAGTTATTTTCATTTAATTTTTCATCTACGTGACTTTACCGAAAGAACCAAAGAGTAAGGATGTCTCTGGTGTAGGGCAATCAGTTTCAAAGACAATGCAGATATTATTATCATCAGAACATGTTTTGTTTGAATGTCCACCACAAGTACAGACTTTATGCCTTGCGAAAGGTTTCCATTTCGTGTTTGAACATCTTAACACAACTCTTGTTGTCAGTTTAACACGTAGGAGGCTTTCGCGTCCAATATTATTAATAATTAAGTTTTTTGGGTTATAATACACTAACCCAACAAACTGTATTACCTCCTGTTGTATTGCCATAAAGGGTAAACACTTATTATTATATCTTGACTTAAAGCTTCCGTTACCGCAGGAATTCATATTCTTTGGGTCTTTCGGTAAAGCCACGTAGATAGCAAAATAATATTTATTTACTTTATTAATTTTTCTATCTACGTGGCTTCACCTAAAGACCCAAACAATACTGATTATTGTTATTAAAATTTTAGAGCTGTTGTTGTTCAGAACCTACCTTAAGCACATTATCGGATGACACTGCTACTACTGCTTCCCTTATGTTTCAGTTTCATTTATGTTGGTATAGCCCTGTGAGCCATTCGGCTCTTGAATCGGGTGCAACCGATTCAACAGACACAAAAACTAAAACATGAACAAGAAAACATCTTAAAGTGACTACGTGACCGTGCAAACAGAAAATCCAGGACAAAAACAGCAAAAATATTGCAGAAACAGCACCGTACACCAACGCTGTGTGAAATAATCCCAGTGGGATGCAAGTCAAACAACAACAAGACAACTTAGATTAAGGCCATCAGTCTAACTCCGTACTACAAACAAAACATGGCCAAACCAAAAAACGTTTTCGAAATCACCAAAATAAAGCCATAAAAGCAATGTAACAGTTGATCATAGGAACTGTGACCGAATTTTCACATTAAAAGACGTAAACAACATGTACCACCAAACCCTGCAGCCATAGCCTGGCAGTCGTGCACAAGTAGCAACAATAACAACAATACTCGACACGCGTCCGTCAGCACCCACTGTGGCGTCGATATGAAATGTAACAAATATAACAGGCGACGACGTTTCGGGCGAATGGCCCCCGTTGATTACCTTAAGCGTGGCTCAATTAGCGCCCGCGGCACGGACCGATCGCGGCTCTCACAGCGGGCGGGCGGGTGCTACAGGTCTCATTACCACGACGTTCCACTATATATGTGTGTATTGTTATAGAAAGAGAGATTATAATTGTAGAATAAAACTCTGTTTAACTTTAAGACCGGCGACAAGCTGAGACGATCCTGGCCTCCCGCAAATTCAAAACGTAGCGCCAACGGCTCTGACATCACCACCCCCACCACCAGCCAATCAGACGCGAGGACGGGAAGGGGGGGTCGCTACCGACGTTGCGATTGGTCGAGCGCAGTCGTGACATCTACAAGGTCAACTCCCCAGCCCACGGTGGCTCGGTAGTGACGTCATGCAATGAATATTAATCGCGTTGCGCGGTGGGGGCGCTCTCTCATTGGGCCCCTTTGAAATAACGCTCGCAGAGAGTGACGTCAAACCAAAGCGCGCGTCAGTTTGAACGCTGTAAAATGACGTCACGCTCCTCGTCGCTTTAATTGAGAATGGCGCGCGAGGACAAGTATGCGTCGGTTGACGTCACGTTATTTAAACGTCGCTTTAATTGCCACTTGTGCGCTTATATAAGTCAGGGTCGGGGACGTCACGTTATTTGAACTCTATAAATGACGTCACGCACCCCGTGGCTTTAATTGCCATTAGCACGCGATAGAGAAGTCGGCGTCGGTGACGTCGCGTAATTTAAATGCCATAAATGACGTCACGCACCCCGCTGCTATAAATTGCCACTAGCGTTTCTGCAAGTCAGATTGTTCTAAGTTAATTATTTGTCTAAAGTTGATTGTTCAAACAACTTCGACTTTACACGTAGGTTATTTATTAGCAAACAATTTCAGTGGTATCTAAATTTCGATTTAAAGCTTTCGTGACTGCAGGGATTCATATTCTTGGTTGTTTCGGTAAAGTCACGTCGAAGGGAAATAATAAAATATAAAACAATACAATTATCAAATCTTGCTGTGGTTTTCACACCTGATGATGATTGCTTGTGTTGCAATCGAAATGTCGTGAGAATTGTATTGTTTTATTTTTATGATTTTATTATTTCCCTTCTACGTGACTTTACCGAAAGAACCAAGAATATTCCTCATTCCAATTCAACTGCCATTCGCCACGAAGTGATGGTGACATGACCATGGCGCTTTGTGCCAGGCCAGGTGCATCTTGAGGCCACGTGAAGTGTCGAAGGCTCGCCGGCAGGAGGTCTTGGGACGGACCCAAGGTGCCATTGAGTCGGCTGACTGAGATGACCGGTTGATGCACCAGCTGTAACCCCTACTGCGCCAACTCGCTGTATTTTATCCGCCCGGCGCTCCACTCGTTGTTGTGAGCGTCGCTCCTCTTGCCCTCCGCTGTTGTTGGAGGGCGACTCCCTCCAACTGCCCAGCAGCAGCAGCAGCATCGTCCTTCACGAGCCTCCACAGATGCCGATCTTGACACCGCTGGTACCAGTCATTGGCAAGTCCACTCAGCTCCACATCCTCCTGTACCACATCAGCTCCATCTCTTCCCCAGCCCGTGTCGTGCCCGTTTGGCCCTCTCTATGCGGCCAAACAGAAGCTGCTTGGACATGCGGTGGCTGGGCATGCCGGGCTACGTGACCCAGCCAACAACCACACACACAACCCGTGGGGTTGGACAGATTGTTCCCATTTGCAGCGCCACACCCTCTGGAAATGACCTCCAGAAGCAATCCGGCACACTCGACTCCATCAGGAACATTTGAGTTACCACTCGGCAAACACACCTGAACACAACAACTAACTCACACATTCTTGGTTCTTTCGGTAAAGTCACGTTGAAGGGAAGCAATAAAATAATAAACTATATATATAAAAACAATAAAATTCTCACGACTTTACCGAAAGAACCAAGAATATGAATCACTGCAGTCACGAAAGCTTTAAATGAAAACTAACTCAGCCAAAACTTGCTTGAATAGTTTTTGTTAAAACATTTTAAACAAAGGTTGACAGCATGTAAAAATATGTATTTTTTTTCTCTCTCTCTCTCTCATAACTTAGAATGTTCTGATGTTATGTTGTGTTTTAAAATGTGCCGGAAAGGCGCCGCCGATGTAAACACAAATGAAATTGACTTGACAGCAACCATCCTACTGCGAGAAACTTGGCGGGAACCTCCGGGAAAAGTCATGAAAATCGGTGAGGGATCCCTTGGGGAAAGAAGCGTCACAAACACATAAATATCGCTGTACTCTGCTTCAACGTCTGTGCTCACTCACCAACGAACACTCAAAGCACCAAATGGTCAAATCAGCCCCTACAACTGCATGCCGGGCGCGAGACAGGCCCTCAGCCAGCAGTGGATTGACCATGGCTGATAATGTTGGTTATGGCTTGCAGGGGAAGCCCTCCCTCCAGAGGTGGGATTTCAAGGGCCGTACGTGGACACAGCGCACATGGAGTGCACGTGGAGTGTGTGTTGTTACGAACCCCGCTCACGGCCACCAACACCGGTGACGATTTTATCTGAACCGGTCCTGGGACTCACCTAGGTCGACTCGGCCTCAAATGATGTGTAAAACATCACCGCTGGGGAGACAAAGGCGGCCGGGCGTGACGCCGGCCACACCCACCCTCTCGTGTGGCGTCATAGGTGCTAGCTAACAGCACTTGCCCTCACAGCCTGTTAAAGGCTACACGGGGGTATCTTTATCTTTGTGCGAGTGAAAGTTGGCACAGTGGGAAGCACATGATGTGCGATCTGCCAGTCATCTCAGTCAGTTGACTCACCCTGCTCCGTCACGGCCTCCCGGCACCGTCAGAAGATCCAACCGATGATGGAAATTCACCAACCCGCACTGACCGGCGTGGTGAAGTATGGTCAAACCCCCCCCCCCCCCCCTCCGATTCCAGAGCCGAATGGCTCACAGGGCTATAGCAAAATAAATCAACTGAAACTGGAAACTGAACGACACCCATACCAGACGAGCAATTACATCAGCTCGCGTGTCGGCGCGGCGTGCATTACCAACATCACAGGATTGTGAGAGGTAGCGGCAGGTTGGGGGGAGGCATTCTCTCAGCAGCGGATCGATTGATCACGGTTGAAGATGACGATATGACTTCGAAATACACAGCTGGAGGACACCTCTAACTTTCAGAGTGTAGGTCACTGTTCCCGCGGGTTCAAGAGAGACTACACTCAGCCCTGCGTGACAATGCGTGCGTGTGTGTGTCCGTGTGTGTGTCCGTGTGTGTATGTGTGTCCGTGCGTGTGTCACCCTTGTCGGGTGTGGGGAGCGGTAGTGTAGTGGTTAGCGCGCTGCGCTACGAACCCGGCGACCCGAGTTCGATTCCCGGTCACGGCAAACGCCGGTGACGATTATCTGGACCGGTCCCTGGGCCTCCCCTAGGTTTACTCAGCCTCAAATGACTCAAATAAGCACCTGGTTGCGGTGTGTAAACATCCTCACTAGGGAGACAAAGGCAGCCGGGCGTGGTGCAGGCCACCCACCCCCTCGTGTGCCGTGCCGGCCTTCAAAGGTGCTCGCTAGCAGCACTTGCCCCTACAGTCTGTTACAGGCTACACGGGGGATCTTTGTCTTTTTTTGTCACCGTTGCGAGTGGTGGCGCAGTGATTAGCACACTGCGCTACGAAACAACCCACCCAAGTTCGATTTCCGCTCACGACCAACCGGTCCTGGGCCTTCCCTATGTCGACTCAGCCTTAAATGGGTACCTGCTGCGGTGTGTAATAAGCAATAACACCGGGGAGACAAAGGCGGCCGGGCGTGGTTCTGGGAGCACCCACCCGCTCGTGTTGTTGCCTCAATATAGGTGCTCGCTCACAGCACTTGCCCCCAACAGCCTATTGGAGGCTACACGGGGGATCTTTGTCTTTTTCTTATTGTTTGGTGCGTCACTGCATCACGCACGCACCTTCCCCGAGCCACAGGAGCAACTCCCTTCATGCCTGAGCGCTGACACTGCGAGCCCTGAATAGGGCTTTGTTTATATATACGCTGCCATGTCACGCGATTTCACCGTCCGGGACCTTTCGGAAATCTGCCACTCCTCTTGCCCTCGTCTTTTGCCGCCCATTCGGAGGCACGGTCGAACCCAGCAGTGGATAGACCGTGGCTTCGTGATGATTCAGATCGTTGATTGACGGTCACATTTTCACCACGGCGACGACGATGTCACTGTCAGCAGTGGCATTTGGAAATGTGACTGGCGGTTCTCGTTGTCGTCGTCGTCATCATCATCATCAGCAGCAGCATGAGCCGTGATCCAAGCCCGTAGCCATGGAGTCAACATTGGGGGGGACCAAATCTTCCAAGGGGTCTGGGTCTGGGTGTCCCCCCCCCCCCCCCAGAAAAAATATATCTAAATTTGAAAACGAATATCCTGCCTAAAATATTGAAAAGTTCACTAACACATAGGATGGACTATTTATTTATTTATTACAATATTGTCTAATAGTGTATTATACTACATTCTTTTTTTTACCTTTTCTTGTTTCATTGCATGTAATGGCAGAGATTAGGGATTAATAAAGTACAACCATAACCACAATCATATAAACAGAAATCTATTTTATAGAAATATATTGGGGGGGACATTTTGAGCATATTTGAATATTGTGGGGGGGGGGGGGCGGGGGATGTGTCCCTCCCAATATATATTATATTTACGACCTTGCCGTGACCTATCTACTGCTGGATGAGCACCTCCACCCTCCTCCACCTTTGGGTTATTGCGATGCCGCAATCCGTGTCACGTCTTGAAAACGAGCTGATCTTATCGTCTCCACTGGGGGTGTGGGGCTGGGGGTGTGGCGATGGTGGCGTGTTCTCTCCTTTTGCCGCCAAGAGCCGAGCGGTAGCGCGTTTGCCGCTTGTTGATAAGTTTGTGGTTGAAAAAATGTAAAAAAAACTCGCGGCCGTTCTGGTAAATAACTGCGGGTGCTTTGAACAAACTGACCGCGGCGTCTCCTTCACAGTGGGGGCCTTTCACAGACCCCTCGACGTTTTTTGTGAATGAGTTGCAGGCCAAAATAAGACCTTATTGCCAGTATCAAAGTATGAAAAAAATAAGAGTAGTTTTTTTTTTTAATAAAACACGTGTTAAGATGTTCAAACGCCAAATGGAAACATTTTGCAAGGAATCAAGTCTGTATGAACCACACACATGTACTTGTGGCGAACATGCAACCAAGACATGCTCTGATAATATACGCATTGCCTAGTCTCACCAGTATCAGACCAGAGAACGCCAAAAGGCGAACAGCACAAAGACAATGCCACTTACAGGGAATGTTTCTCTCGGAGTGAGCAGCTACGAAATGGGACCTTTCTGCCAGCATCAAAGTATGAAAACATAATAATAGGTGTGACCCTTTCTGGCAATAAAACAAGAGGTGTCTTAAGATGTTCCAACAGCAAACAGAAACCTTTTGATAGCAAAACAAGTTAATGCGTGAACCACACGCACACCAATCAAGTTATTGCGTGAACCACACGCACACCAATCAAGTTATTGCGTGGACCACACGCACACCAATCAAGTTATTGCGTGGACCACACGCACACCAATCAAGTTATTGCGTGAACCACAGGCACAGGGTACTTGTGTTGAACACGCAATAGCAGGCCATTGTGCGCCGGTGTCACGGGTCCGAAATTTGACAAATCTGAAAACGACCCCACAAGTTACTCAATTGGGTAAAAAAAACTAAATCACGTAGCAACATCGCCCCCCCCCCTACTGGCTGTGGTTTTCACACCTGATGATTGCTTGTGTAGCAGTCGAAACGTCGTGAAAATTTTATTGTTTTATATTTTTTAAATTATTTTATTGTTTCCCTTCTACGTGACTTTACCGAAAGAACCAATAATATTTAACCCACGTGTCAAACATAGCGCCTGCGTCATCGCCGGCGCGTTATAAAATAATTGTGTGCGTACCTCACCCCCGTCTAAGCCACGATGTGTCCCTGACCAATGCCCTTGACACTGTATCCCAGACTTCCCAGTGTCATTTCTGGCTTGCATCTGTTCAGCCTTCCTTGCGGAATGCTCAATTCCATGGGGGTTTTCACCGTCCGTGTCTCTAGCCATGGACAGTGAACTTATCTTTAGTTTGTTGGCCTTCCCACGCACCTCCGACCAGCACGGTTGACTACGTACGGTGCGAAAGAAGTTCAAGATACACGCATACCTACAAAGCAGATGTGTAATATCTGTCAAATATGCAATTATATTCTTGTGTATGATGGCAATATGCTGAAGAGGGAGGGTGATATCTTCTGGCCACGGCGAGGGTGCTTCAGGAGAGAGTTCGTGTGGTTCTGATATTCCTCCTCTTCCGTTGAAGGAGCTCAGACTGCAGTGGTTTCACCATACGGTCCAATGCGCAATGATTGAAAATTTTCGGTTTACTGCTGCTTGCTATTATATATAACCACCATGACCCTTAGGGCGTGGGGAGGCCCTAATCATCCAGCAGTGCATGAATGACAAACATGGCTTAATTCATACTCTTTGGCTCTTTCGGTAAAGTCACGTAGATGAAAAAAACATGAAAAGAATGAAATGAAAATAACTAAAAGAAATCACGACGTTTCGGGCACAACACAAGCGTCCGTCATCAGGTGGGAAAGCATGGTCTGCTGCTGAAGCAGACTGTTTTAAAAGGTTTGAAATGGGTGTAGCCCCAAGGGTCATAAAGAAGTGGCTGGGTCTAGTGATTTTAATGTGACAAATTAGCATGTAACTGGGTACGGAAGTGGCTATGTTAATGTGAGAGATTAGCATGATGTTATAACATCCTAACATCATTATTATTTTCATTCTTGTTATTTTTATTTTTCATCTACGTAACTTTACCGAAAGAACCAAAGAGTATGGATCTTGCAGTCACGATAACTTCAAATCTAGAATGGCTTAATTCCTCTGGGAATATTTTACGGGCGACCCCCCCACCTCCGCCCAACCCCCCCCCCCACCACCAAACCTTCAAGCCACCGAAATATTTTCCGGAGAGTAGCCCCAGACAACTCCGGCTTTAGTGAAACCACTGGCTGTGCGTGCAGTGAGTGCGCTCTTTTCAAAAAATACCGAGCGCCTCTTGCTCAAACTCCTGCCATTCACAACTCTGGAGCAAGCCATCACATTTCACGCGCGCCAATTATTAGCGAGCTGTGTTGGCGACAGAGGTAATTATTGTTTTCTTGCTCAAAGAGCTTCAGTGAGCTTTAATCCGTTCCGTTATAACGTTGCGCTATATTTGTACAGAGTTGCCGAGCACAGGTGGCCAACGGCGAGCAACGTCAATCGGACGGCAACGAATAGCACCATCAAAGCTCTAATATGCATTTGGGGCTGTCCATAAATGACGTCACGCACCTAGGGGGGGTCAGACATTTGTGACGATGTGTGACGAGGGCGGGGGGGGGGGGGTTGAGAAATGTGACGTCACATCAAAATGCGCAACTTTAAATAAATGTAGAATTGTTATAACAACACTCCTACAACATCAGTGCAGCGCCACATTAAATACGCACTGCGATGACAATAGTTTAAAGCGATTTGAAGCAAAATGGAAATATGGTTGGGGGGGGGGGGGCAGAGCGTTGTGACGTCATATTTGAGGGGGGTCTGACTTTTTGCGACGCCGTGTGACGAGGGGGGGTGGGGTCAAAAATCGTCCAAAATCGCGTGACGTCATTTATGGACGGCCCCTCTGAGTAACTTAACGCGTTGATTGAATTGGCCAAAGTTATGATTATTATTGTTGTAAAAGAGCTTGGGGAAAGGAGACGACGATAATGATGATGATGGGACGGGAATTTCTCAGTGATCAGTGTGGGCAGAAGCAGAAAGGAAAGTGAGGTTTGGTGGGAGCCTTAGTAGGAGTGAATGAGTAGGTGGGTGGGTGGGTTGTTGTGACCTGCAGTGTGGTAAGTGGGTTGGTGGGTGGGAGCCTGAGTAGGAGTGAGTGAGTCAATCAGTGAGTGGGCGAGTGGGTGGGTAAGTGAGTGGATGAGAGAGTGGGTGGGTGGGTCGGTGAGTAAGTGAGTGGGTGAGTGAGTGGATAAGTGAGTCGGTGAGTGAGTGGGTAGGTGAGTTGTTGTGACCATAAGTGCGGTAGTGGATCTAGAGGTACATTGAGAACGTAAACAGTCCTACCATATGACAATACTGTTGTGTATATTGTATTCTTCACGGGTTTTATGTTCGCGTGCGACAGGTGTCGTGTTGCTTTGCCGTTACTTCCAGTGCTCATGAAGATTTACTCAAAAGTTATATTCGGCTGCAATTCGGTGGACGCTGTGAGCCTGGGAACTCCACAAATCAGCAATGATGCACGAGGCTGCCACTCACGACAAACAGCTCCGACGTCGTGGGTAAAATCGCTGTTCATTTAGAGCAGTGGTTCTTCACGTTCACTGCAGCCTTGCACCCGTTTGGTCCTTAATTGTTAAACAAAACAATGTACAATGTCAATAATAAATACAGAGGGTTTGATGAAACAAAGGAGCTTAATTTGTGTTTTGCGATTATTTACCTTTCTAAAATACGATCTGGCCATGTCCAGCACCCCCAGAAAGGGCATCACGCACCCCCAAGAGAGTGCGTGATACACCCAGCTTAATATAAATACACATTTAGATCGTTCTTTCGCATTTGGAGAATACAAAAACCACAATTGGGAGACTGTAACAGTCACAATAAACGAATGACACTATCATATTCGGTACCTTATAACAATCATAATTATTCCTGTGTTATGGTTGGTTACCCAGAAAAGACTCACCGGGTCTCGAGACTAATTTTTCAGAAGGTTCCTGCCAAGTTTTCGGAGTAGGAGGGAGGCGATTCTACTGCTGTTGTTATAATGCCAATTGAGTAATGTGGCAGGTAATTGTTTTTAAGCATTGGCAATGTGTTGGCCAGAACCGGTTCCATGTGCTTATATATAATCGTACGGTAAACTATGTTTATTTTACCAGGTAAGGCCCAATGAGCTATGTAGCTCATTTTCAGAAGCGACCTGGCCACAAATGATTTCCCAATGTAGTGGCATATCGAGTGTAAATGTGTTGCAGCCAAACACTGTGCAACGCATGTTTATAAATGTGAAGGAATAAACCGGAGGACCCGGAGAGAAAAATCCACGCGACCACGGTGTGAGAGAGAGAGAGAGAGCGACATGGAGTAGGAAGAGAGGGGGTAGAGAGAGAGGGGGGGCAGAGAGGGGGGTAGAGAGAGAGGGAAGAGGTAAGGAGAGCAGAGCAAGAAATCTTTTGTTAAATATTTCATTTAAAAAGGAGGGGGCGGGGGGGGGGGTTACATAAAGCAAAGCATAAAAAAACAAAAAAAACGAAATGATGAACGAAGCAAAGTGATCGTAAAAAGTGAGAGAGACACCGCAAACTTCAAATACACAGCAGCAGGCGTCAGGGTCGGGATGGAACCTACGACCTCCTGTATACCAGGCGAGGTAGTTAACATCTCCTAGCCACCGTGATGATGATGAGAGAGAGACACCGCAAACTTCAAATACACAGCAGCAGGCGTCAGGGTCGGGATGGAACCCACGACTTCCTGCATACCAGGCGAGGTAGTTAACATCTCATAGCCACCACGGCACTCTACGTCGTGTGGCAGCGCCGTAAAGTTCGATGAGACGCCAAGCAGCAGCAGCGGAGCATTGTGCGTGGAAAAGAAACTTCCTTTCAATCAGTGCACATTTAAAGGTGATGGAAGGGAGCAGGGTGCGGGGAGGGACGTGGTGGGGTGATGGGGGGGGGGGTGATGGGGGGGGGTGATGGGGGGGGGTGATGGGGGGGGTGATGGGAGGGTGATGGGGGGGGTGATGGGGGGGGGTGATGGGGGGGGAGGGGGTGATGGGGGGGGTGATGGGGGGTGATGGGAGGGGGGTGATGGGGGGGTGATGGGGGGGGTGATGGGAGGTGTTTGGAAGTCTTGAGACGATGGGATGATCAGAGGGGTAGATGGAGATGATGGGATACCACGTTGGTCCAACGTTTCCCACCACAAGTCCACAACCTTGGACCAACGTTGTCCCAACGTTTCCCACGACAAGCCAACAGCGTTGTCCCAACGTTGTCCCAACGTTTCCCACCACAAGCCAACAGCGTTGTCCCAACGTTGTCCCAACGTTTCCCACGACAAGCCAACAGCGTTGTCCCGTCTCCCTGGGCGGGCGCTGGGAGGGATCGTCGCGAGGGGAGGCGGCGGCGGCGATTGGAGGGATGAGAGGGGCCGCTGTGGGCAGCGCCGTGGGAGAGAGTTGGGGAGGTGATGGGCGAGAGAGGCGCGTGGTTATTCTCGCGTCGCGTCGCTGGGGGCAGCAGCAGCAGTAGCAGCAGGGGTAGCAGCAGCAGCGGCAGGAGCGAGCTGAGTGGTTGCGGCTACAGCGGCGGCGTCAGGGATGCTCGGGGCCTGGGGCCGCGTGGGCCTGAGCTGTGGGGAGACGCGGCCCGGGTGAAGCGGGGTCGGGACAAGGGGGCCGATCCCGACACGGGCCCCAGGGACCGGGACCAGCTGGGGCTGCTGGGCGGCGCGCGGCGCGGTGAGTGGAGGAGCCGAGGATCGCCCGGCCTGTGTGTCCTCAGCGTCTCCCTCGTCTCGCCCCTGTCCCCCTGTCTCCCCGTGTCCCCTGTCTCCCTCTCTCTTGTTTCGCTTTCCGACTCTCCCTCCCTGTCTCCCTCCCTGTCTCCTCCTTCCCAAACGTTACCCTCTCCACTGTCCCCGTGTCTCCCCTCTCACCCTGTCTCCCTCTCTTGTTTACATCTCTCCCCTGTCTCCTCCCCTCTCTCCCTCTCCCCCCCTGTCTCCCTGTCTCCCTCTCCCCTGTCTCCCTCTCCCCCCCCCCTGTCTCCCTGTCTCCCTCTCCCCCCTGTCTCTCTCTCCCCATGTCTCTCTCCCCTGTCTCCCTGTCTCTCTCTCCTCTGTCTCCCTCTCCCCCTGTGTCCCTCTCCCCTGTCTCCCTCTCCCCCCTGTCTCCATCTCCCCTGTCTCCATCTCCCCTGTCTCCATCTCCCCTGTCTCCATCTCCCCTGTCTCCCTGTCTCCCTCTCCCCCCCTGTCTCCCTGTCTCTCTCTCCTCTGTCTCCCTCTCCCTTGTCTCCCTGTCTCTTATTTCGCTTTCCGACTCTCCCTCCCTGTCTCCCTACCTGTCTCCTCCTTCCCAAACGTTACCCTCTCCACTGTCCCCGTGTCTCCCCTCTCACCCTGTCTCCCTCTCTTGTTTACATCTCTCCCCTGTCTCCTCCCCTCTCTCCCTCCCCCCCTGTCTCCCTGTCTCTCTCTCCCCTGTCTCCCTCTCCCCCCCTGTCTCCCTGTCTCCCTCTCCCCTGTCTCTCTCTCTCCTGTCTCCTCCCCTCTCTCCCTCTCCCCCCCTGTCTCCCTCTCCCCTGTCTCCCTCTCCCCCCTGTCTCCCTGTCTCCCTCTCCCCCCTGTCTCTCTCTCCCCCTGTCTCTCTCCCCTGTCTCCCTCTCCCCCTGTCTCCCTCTCCCCTGTCTCCCTCTCCCTTGTCTCCCTCTCCTTTGTCTCCCTCTCCACCCCTGTCTCCCTCTCCCCTGTCTCCCTGTCTCTCTCTCCCCTGTCTCCCTCTCCCCTGTCTCCCTCTCCCCTGTCTCCCCCCCCCCCCGTCTCCCTGTCTCCCTCTCCCCTGTCTCTCTCTCTCCCCTGTCTCCCTCTCCCCTATCTCCCTCTCCCCTGTCTCCCTGTCTCCCTCTCCCCTGTCTCCCTCTCCCCCCTGTCTCCCTGTCTCTCTCTCCCCTGTCTCCCTCTCCCCTGTCTCCCTCTCCCCTGTCTCCCTCTCCCCCCCCCGTCTCCCTATCCCCTGTCTCCCTCTCCCCTGCCTCCCTCTCCCCCCCTGTCTCCCTCTCCCCTGTCTCTCTCTCCCCTGTCTCCCTCTCCCCTGTCTCCCTCTCCCCCTGTCTCCATGTCTCCCTCTCCCCTGTCTCTCTCTCTCCCCTGTCTCCCTCTCCCCTGCCTCCCTCTCCCCCCTGTCTCCCTGTCTCCCTCTCCCCTGTCTCCCTCTCCCCCCTGTCTCCCTGTCTCTCTCTCCCCTGTCTCCCTCTCCCCTGTCTCCCTCTCCCCTGTCTCCCTCTCCCCTGTCTCCCCCTCCCCTGTCTCCCTCTCCCCTGTCTCCCTCTCCCCTGTCTCCCTGTCTCCCCCTCCCCTGTCTCCCTCTCCCCTGTCTCCCTCTCCCCTGTCTCTCTCTCTCCCCTGTCTCCCTCTCCCCTGTCTCCCTCTCCCCTGTCTCCCTCTCCCCTGTCTCCCTCTCCCCCCTGTCTCCTTGTCTCCCTCTCCCCCCCCTGTCTCCCTATCCCCTGTCTCCCTCTCCCCTGCCTCCCTCTCCCCCCCTGTCTCCCTGTCTCCCTCTCCCCTGTCTCCTCCCTCTCCCCTGTCTCCCTCTCCCCTGTCTCCCTCTCCCCCCTGTCTCCCTGTCTCCCTCTCCCCTGTCTCTCTCTCTCCCCTGTCTCCCTCTCCCCTGTCTCCCTCTCCCCCCTGTCTCCCTGTCTCCCTCTCCCCCCTGTCTCCCTGTCTCCCTCTCCCCTGTCTCTCTCTCTCCCCTGTCTCCCTCTCCCCTGTCTCCCTCTCCCCCCTGTCTCCCTGTCTCCCTCTCCCCTGTCTCTCTCTCTCCCCTGTCTCCCTCTCCCCTGTCTCCCTGTCTCTCCCCTGTCTCCCTCTCCCCCCTGTCTCCCTCTGTCTCATCTTTCCCCCAAGTTCCCCTTCTCCCGCCTCCTTGCTCTCTCCATGACCACCCCTGGCCCCTGCTGTGGTCCTGTGATGGTGTCTCTGTCTGTGTGTCTCTTGAGTAAAATCTGGCAACAAGTGGGCAGCACCTCCTCAAAGTGCGCCTTGCCTGACACGTCGAGGTGCACATAGCCTGGCACAGGCACCGTGGTGACGTCACGGCGGCTGTAGCTGCTGTTACGTAAACGCGTCTGTGCTCTTGCTAATTCGGCGATTGCACTCACACTTCGCAGTAGCTTCTTACCCGTTCATTCGACAAAACCCAGTATAATGTACTAAACTAAACTATATATATTTTTATTGTTTCCAGGTAAGGCCCCCACTGAAGCTATTTTTCAGACGCGGCTTTGCTATCACAAACGATATCTCGACGAGGTGGCTTCTCGTCACGTGCAAATGTACAGCAGCAAGTTGCTTTAAACGCGTGACGTTGATGCTTAATGTGGAGGGGGAAAAAGCGCAGGACCCGGGAGAGAAATCCACGTGACCACACCGCAAACTCCAAATGCACAGGGCGCCAGGGTTGGGATCGAACCCACGACCTCCTGTATGCATGTTGAACTTCTTTCGCAACGTACGTAGCCATCCCTGCTCGTTGGAGGTGCGTGGGGACGGACAGGCGTGGTAGTTAACATCTCGCCTCCGTGACATCCGGCTCAGCAGTGTGGAATGGTCCATCCGCTTTGCCAATCCACCGGCACGTTGTGAAAGCCTTGGGGAGACGTTTGTCCGTACTTCGCCACACTGCTTCGTGCGGTTTTGTTTGGAGTTGTTGCGGCAGGGGAGACCCAGGAATGGTTCGGATGTCCCTCGCCACTGACGTTAGCCGTGGCTGGGAATGGAACCGAGGTCGCGTCGCCAGGCTTCGTGGAGCGCTGCGCTAACCGCCGTGCCACCGCTCCGCCGCCCTCTCACATTGCCCGACACTTGTGGAAGAATGTACAGGCTGACCCTAATCCTGACTATTAACCCTAAACACCCATAATCCCGCCCGGTAACCCTATCTAACCTCTAACCCTATCTTCTCAGCCAACCCCATATCTAACCACTGCCCCAAACAAGGCTCTATTCATATCCCCAATCATACACATGGCCTGTAACTCTTACCCTAATCCTTAGCAAGTCTCTAACCATATCACCAATAATACACATGGCCTGTAACTATGACCCTAAGCATGTCTGTAACTACAACCTCAAACAAGTCCCTAACCTCTAACCGTGACCAAGCCACTGACTCACAACTATGACGGGCGTCTAGACACCCGACTGTGGCCCTGTGTGGCTCCGGTGGACTGCACGAACGTGCCCAGCATTGTGTTGAAGCTGTCGTCACCAAACGCCCTCCACCCCTAGCGCTCGGCCCGATTGTGAATTGGGAGCTCTTCAAGTTGCCAGCCGACTCGTCAGCCACCGACTCTTTTCGCGGTTGTGTGCGGGGCTTACTTTTCCACCCAAGATTTCCCGGGTCGCTCGTGGAGTGGGGTGGGTGGCACGTGACTAGTAGCGGCCACAGACATAGCAAGAGGTGTGGGGGTGCAATGGGTGGACGCATTTTTTTAGTCTCTGGTACGGTGGCGAGATGTAACTGCCTCACCTGGTATACACGAGTTTGTGGGTTCGATCCCGACTTTAGTATACCTGGAGTTTGCGTGTTCTCCCCGTGGTCGTGTGGATTTTTCTCCGGGTCCTCCGGTTTTTCCCACCACATTTAGAAACACGCGTTTATGGTATTTGGCCGCTCGAATTTCCACGTGATAAGTCACATCGTTGAGCGGGTCGCTCGTGAAAAATAACTATACAGCTCGGTGGACTTGCAGCAGCCACAGCCATCGTGAGAGCTATACAGGATGGGGTGTGCCGGGTTCTGGAATTCAGCCCTGATTGTACGCAAAGCCTCCCAACGTGAAGGGAACGGACGGCTACTTAAGTTTATATTTTTAAGCCTTTGTTTTTTGGTGTTCCTGGATCGTGTCCGAACATGACACGCAGTGTGCGTTGTGTTTTGGCGGTGCGCGACTCGCTTTGTTGACGCGTTAAGGGGCTGGCCTTTGCTCTGCTCCCGGAACGAGTGGTGCGCTCCGGCCGGTTCGCTCGGAGCTAAGCAGGGCTGAGCCTGGGCTGCGCGTGAATTGGTGACTCCCAGTGCGTGCCTGGTTGTCATAGGCAGATGCAGACCTGTGCGGTGGGCAGCAGATGAGCCAGTGCAGCAAAACCCATTTTTGTGCTGTACTGTACTTCCATGCTTCCTCGACTTGTGCCTCTCCTGCCTTTGCCAACCCGCGCTGACCAGCCTGGTGAATTGTTCACATGTGGTCCTCCCCTCCTCCGATATTCTGGAGAGATCTTCTTCCCATGTTACGTCGCAGTCTTTCTTTTGTACTTCAGAGGTGACAGCTAGGCGAAGGGCAGTGATGGTGGCGGTGGTTGTGGTGGCGTTGGTGTTTTTGTTGGTGGTAGTGGTGACGGTGCTGTATTGGCGGTGGCGCTGGTGGTGCTACTGGCGGTGCTGGTGGAGCTAGTGTTGCTGGTGGTGCTGATCAGAACCACGTGTTTGTCCCTCTGCCAGTGTGGCGTGAACACTATTGGCCTTGTGGAGACGGGGGGGGGGGCAGCCACACCTCACCCTGACGCAAACCTGGGAACAAGGCGCCACTTATTTTGGGACAGGATTGCGCACACTTTCCTTAGCTTCGGTGGAACACATGGCCCATTCGTACAGGCAAACCGAGCTCGCCCACATGCCAGCAGTGTGCAAACAGCCGCTAGCATCTTCGTACACACCCTGATGGTAGTAGCGTTAAGCTA